TCTACTAACCCCACCCCTACGGTGGGGTATCTCGAGAGGAGGGGGGGGTGCGACGGACTATTGCTGCGCGGCCAGAAGCCCGGCCTTGAAGGCCTCCACTGTCTGGGCTTTTACAAGCTGGCCCGGTAACTTGTTCCACTCATTTATCGTTCTTGGAAAAAAAGAAAATCTAAAACAGTCTGTTTTGGCAGGTATTGCTTGATACTTATATTCATGACTTCCTCTGGTACGCCTATGGGCAGGTTTGAGGTATTGTTCCACTTGAATATTAATATGTCCATGAGCAATTTTATATAAAGATATCAAGCGAGCGGTTCTCCTTCTGTCAACAAGTAACGGCCACTGGAGGCGCTTTAGCATGTCAGAAACACTGCTGGTATAGTCATAATCACTAACAGCCATTCGCGCCGCCCTTCGTTGGACTCGCTCCAACGCCTGGGAACCACCGATGGTGTGGGGATCCCATACAGTCGCACAGTACTCCAGGTGTGGGCGTACAAGTGTTCTGTAGCATGTAGATTTGACACGAAGAGGACAGTGCGAAAGGTTACGGCGGATGACTGCCAGTATCCTATTAGCTCTACCAGTGACATAATTTATATGTGTGTCCCATTTCATATCCTGTGATAGTTGGACTCCAAAAATCTCTTTGTCTCTTTCCATCGCATTTAAGACCTTATGTTGAAAAAATTCAAAACTTCGAGAATTCAATCTTGATGATTAAAGATTTCGGATAGTCTAAATATGCATGGCATCATTTTATTACGTAACAGGTGTTGCTATAGGCAACATACGTTTTAGTTGACCTGAATAATCTATCATTAACACTTTTTGTTAACCTTATGTTTATTTTTTAAGAATGACGTATATATGGTTTGAGGCAATAAAATCGCATAAATGACTTTACGTCATAATAATATTGCTAGTATGGTTGATTATTACAAGTACACCATCATCTGACACTTTGGTGGTCATACGATATACCGTTCACGAGTTCTTGGGTGGGGTTCTGAATGACCCCCCCCCCTCCCCGTTCCCAGAGCCCAGTCTAGATAGGGTTGCTTAACATCGGTGCAGACTGACAACGACAGGTACATAATCATGGAGTACTTACTATTGACCCACATATAGCCACTTATCTCCATCAATAAGGCCATATGTCATGTTTTGTACGTGTGATTGGTGCTGCTATTCTTTGTCAAAGATGGAGATAATTATGGTATTTGGTAGGTGGAATATTGATACTTATTAAGTTTGGGCATTCTGAAGGCTTTATACAATCACTAAGCATGCAGTATATATATGGCGAAATGTTTAAATAGAAGTTACTAGTAGGTCTCAGTTAGGCTGGTCTGGTTGGGCCCTTGTGGTTGGGATCCGTGGAGAAGGATTAGATCAAGCACGGTTTGTGGACTTTTACTGTTTTCGGAACGTAGGTGTCTTTAGAAAAGGTTAATATTATTTTGAAAATTGTAAATTTTTTGACATAATTAAGAAGGCACTCGTGAATTTTAGCTTTAATCTATATTAGAATTGTGTGTTTTACTATAGATTTAGCCAATGTGCACCAAAACTTTAATTCTTTTATTTCTTTGCTAAAAGTTGAAATGTTTTAATGACAAAATTAACGAGGACATCTTAAAAATGCTTTCCTTCATTAGACATTGATAATTAAAAAAAAACAGGTATTACTTTTTCACAACTAAAACCTTGAGTGTGTCACAATTTTGAATGACAAGAGTTTCTTGATTCCAGCATTTCAACATTATTCTAAAGACCGTGATTTTATATACACTTAATTCGGCTAACGTTAACTAACAGACCTCAGGCTTGCTTGGACTACGGTTGGGGGAACATGTAAAGAGTAAGAGGCTTGGCTAAGGCTCAACAGATAAGGGATTAGCCCTATCTAGACAGAGGGGGGGGGGGCTAAAAGTTTCCGCGCCAACTTTGATGTCACATAGCGGCTAGGGCTAGAACCGCCAAACTTTGTGACTTTTCCTAGAATATTGTTGGCAACAATTCTGTATAATTGGAATAATATATTATTTTTGTGTTGCCATGGCAACGGGTTTCTTACAGACATTTTTGGCTAAATTTAGTAATATTCGTTTCAACAATTTTATGTGTTTTATGTCAAGTTACGAATTGTTTCTGATATTAATAACATCCCAAATAATTTTATGTAAATTTCAACATTAAAACGCATAATTTATGCTAATTTGATGACGCCATTGGCCAACATCCAACATTGGCCAACAAGATGGCGGACCATATCATTAGAACATGTATATACAGGTTATTTTCCTTAAAATTACATCAATACTTCCATTTCTTATTACAGAAAAGGTTCATATGGACGCCTTTAGTCTGTTTTCAATGTATTTTAAGGTTTATCCTGAAAAAATATATTTTTGAAAATTTAAGATTAATGATCCAAGATGACGGATAGCTTTAATCGTCACTGGTGTTGCTATGGGCAACATAAGATAGTACACCCTAATATTCCGTCATAAACACTTTTGGTTAAGTTATGTTGTATACCATTTAGTTTTTAGGGATAACCTATTTAGATGGTTTTGGCCAATAAAATCACATTAATGACGTCATAATGACGTTAAATTACGTCATAACGCTCAAAAATTGTGGATATGATCAATTTTAATAGCACACCAACATGGTGGTCATATGACATACCGTTCTCGAGTTCTGAGGGGGGTCAAGTAAGCCACCCCCCCCGTCCCACGAAGCCCAAAAAAGCCCGGTCTAGATAGGGTTAAAATGAAATCGTAAGAAGAACGCAATGGCACCTCTGGCTTGCCAAACTGGTAGATGTACAATTACTAGTACAGTTCTAACAGAGCTCCAGCATACATGACGTATACTGTTTTCTTTATCTAACAAATGGGCACCACAGTTACAAGAGTCACTATCATAGCCTCAGATATCAGATATCAAATATCAGATGTAATCAAATAGAATTAATTGGTCTTCCTGAAGGTAAAAGTTGTTGATAGTAATTTGTATAGGAAGTCAAATAAAGAATTGTCATGGGTTTAAACAATGATAATGAAGTTGTCGTAAAAAGTAACATCATTTAAAGAGAGTTAAAGTCTTGTCATGCTGGCAATATGTTTAACAATATTTTCAAATAATTAGTATTAATCAGGTGACAGACCCTTTACTTTTTTGCCCCGCGGAGGCGTCGTTACCTCCGAATTAGTTGCGTTGCACGATATATCGATAAAGTACTCCTAGTGCGTATACATGACACTAAATACATGGTCTTGTATGTGGAACGCACTATATATATATAATACACACACACACACACACACACACACACACACACACTATATATATATATATATATATATATATATAGTGTGTGTGTTGTTTGTGTGTGTGTGTGTGTGTGTGTATATATATATATTATATTATATATATATATATATGTGTGTGTGTGTGTGTGTGTGTGTGTCCCGCAGGACAAGGTTAAGATCTTGAAATGTTTGTTACTGTAGTTTTAGACATGTTGGTCGCAATAGTTGTAACATTTCAATGTTTGCCTTAGATGTTAGGACTAGCAGTAGGACAAATTATCACGTATTATCTGCCGGCCCTATAGATTGACTACGACTTCATCATGCACACGGAGACAATAGCGGAAGATTACCAGTTGTTCTTCAGGAAGGCTGGAATCGTTGGGAGAGAATACCTGATCCCGGAAGTACGACAGAGGAAAGGTGATAGACTATTTTGGGATTTCTATAAAGAAATACCAATGGAAGATTTGTGGCAAATCAAACAAAAGTTTAAAGTAGACTATGATATGTTTGGATATAACTTCCATGATGACATTGTAAGATTTTTTAGCCGTTAATTCTTTGAAGATCTTTGTATTTTCTCCAAAACTATTTTAGTCCAGTTAATATTTGTTCAAACATTACGATAATTTTGTTGAATAATTCTGGATTTGAGAAACAAAAACATTGTGTACTATAATCCCTACCAACCATAATGTTACAAATTGTTGAAACGTATCTTACAACCTTCCAAAACTGCTACTTTTAGATGCAATTTCCGTTAACATTAAAAGGCAAAACTTAATTAGCTTATTACATTGATCTTACATGGAAAGAGAGTAAACCATCCTTGTTATTCATAGATGTTTGCAATACCAAAGTTCTGTTTTATGTCTTATACGTAAGTTTTTTTTTTACATAACTTAAATCACGGAAGCTTTGAAAACATGTGTAGTATGCTAGTTTTATGGTAACAATGTTTGATTACATGGTGAGATCCTATGAAGTCAGTTATCTAATAAAACATATTTCATCATGGTGATCCTGATCTAATTGTAGTTTATTTGACTGTGTACATTGTACTTTGTTAATTTGATGTGAGTTTTCAAAGCTATTGAACGGGTTGTGTGGTTGTCGACAATGCATTGCAAACTGAGCAAAAAAAAGAGCAACGCATTTTGAACTATCTTGGCCAAAAACATGATAGTCTTTTGGACATGGAAGTTATAAATGCTTCATAATAATCATTAAGCAATCCAACTTTGAATTGATTATATAATTATTAATTCAATTAATAAAATGGTTTGGAGGGAGAGGGCTCTCACTCCGGAGACCCAAACATATATATGTCACTAAAATAAAACTAGGAAGTTTCACCGCAGCACGACAGCAACCTGCATTGCAAGATAGAAGTCATACATACCAGATACAATCCATCAAGGTATTTAATAGTTGTTTCCCCATAGGCACATTCAATGAAGCTGGTGTGTTACGCCGAAAGGCGGTTATACCGGCTATACAGATACAGATACAGATACAATACCCCCGATAACAAACCAAGTGTCCATAGAGGCAATTCTCCGTGAAGTTTGATATTTTGCAGATTGAGAACAGTAATAGTGTATGTAAACTGTGTGTGATCACTTAACAACTGGTAACAACGTATCGTAGAAACGCTATATCCCTGGTCTAATAGTCTAGCCTGACTAAAAAATGCTGGTGACCTGCCCAGAAGTTTGCCGCCCCCCTTCCTTGGGGAAACAGTTTCAGGCTGACTAGTGTAAATGCAGGCTGCATAAAATCAACAACACGACATCCTAAATAGATGAACAAAGTCAGTTTTTATTACAATATCTTTCATTTACTACATATTATTCATTTGACAAGGTATCGCAGTAGGTACAAACCACAATCCCCCCAAAAAACTCGCAACAATTATGCACAACAGTCACCTAACATCTGCTTAGAGAACCTCGGCTTCCAGACAACTACCTAAACCTACGTCATATTCCACAGTATTGTAAAATTAGATATGTTTCTAAACTAAGCATTAACTTTAATATCAAAACTGCTACGGTGAAAATAAAAAGACGTGCATCATCACGGATATAATGGCACACCGCATGCCCAATTAGACAGAAATGCTACGTGCAGAACAATACATTTTGGCTACGAACATCTTCCAAAAACGGCCTCATACCTTAAGCATGGGGACAAAACGTCTGGTACCACTTATCGACCCCTTCCCACATTTGCATGAAGTATGACCCCCCCCCCCCGCTATTCCAAACAAAGGGTTTTCCTGGACCATTCCAATTTGCCTCATAATTGCAGTGGTGCATCTGAAATATTACATTGAAAACAGCAACGGCAAAAATACACATCCGTGCATCATCATGGGCATGCCCGCACACGGCGTATAAAATTGCATGTCGATTACGCAAAGAGAACCCCTTTGTTCTAGCTGCGAACACGAAAAAAACGGCTACTTACAATACTCCGTCCGGAGGTCATGACCTCCTTCGCGGAGTAATAAACTGTAATTCGTTATTTAGAATCTCCAATTAAACTTAGACCAGTACATAAATAAAGTTGTTAAGTCTTTTTCAACTGGATAATTGAAAGTTTAATGTGCAAACGTTTCGAGTACCCTCCGGTACTCTTCATCAGTATAATGTGAGGAGATATCCGGTACAAGAATAAAGTTCTAAATAAACAAAAATAATCCATGTTCTAAAGTAGGTTCTACATAAACAAAAGGTAACTGACAAGTTCTAAAAACAATCTAAAGGTAAGCTAAATAAACAAGCAACTACCAATTATATACAAAAAAGGAAAGAAAATAACTAATAAAAACTTAAGGTTCGGACAAAATACGATCAAAAATATCTGAATAAGAGGTAACTACCAATTATATACAAAAAAGGAAAGAAAATAACTAATAAAAACTTAAGGTTCGGACAAAATACGATCAAAAATATCTGAATAAGATTATTGCGTTATAGAGCGATGTCCCAAGAGCTAGATAGATCAAATCTTAACCCCCCCCTTTCTATTTAAAGATGGCTGATAAATATGTTCGTAGATAGACTCCCTTGCCCCCCCCCCCGTTCAAACCACCTAGATTCACGATCTAAAATGTCAGTGCTATCTATCTGAAAGGAATGTCCATGATGAATGTTGAGGTGGTGATATATCGCTGAAGAAAACCCACTAGAACTAGCTCTACAGTGTTGCTTGTATCTCTCCTTTAACGGTTGACTCGTTTCACCGATGTAAGTGTCCTTGCACTGCGGATCATCGCACTTTAACCGGAGGGTACTCAAAACGTTTGCACATTAAACTTTCAATTATCCAGTTGAAAGAGACTTAACAACTTTATCTATTTATTGTATTCCTGGATGAGTAACCTTCACCAACGTATTAGACCAGTACAGTTTGCTGTGTGCTAACGTCCTTTGTATTGTCAGTGAATGGTGTTAAAAAATGAAAATAAGATGTCAATCACATTTGTTACCATTGGTAACTACCCATGATTGGTTGACACTTTTGTGGGCCGGCTCTAGAAATGTTTACCTTGCTGTTCGCCCCCTCGACTTTTTTCTCGGGAACAGTTCTATACATATGGCGATATGCGCACCTTTCCTGATCCACCCTTTTTTTTTCAGAAATATCCTGGCCCGTTCCTGGATGTTATGGAGGCATGCCGGCCAGACACTTAGTGGGAGGGGCCTATTCACATAGCAACGGGCATTCTATCCTAACAACCAGACGACCGTTAGTGAGACAGAGCCAGTTTATACCTTACTCATAGGGAGTATAAGGGCTACAATTAGTTTAAACTTTCACCAAAATACCGATGTTGTTTTTAAGTATTAGTTATGGGACTTCTGTTTAATGGTATTTATAGAAAAACATACTTCTTATCAGTGGGCAGCAATACTAATGTTAAAATAGTTATTCCATGTGCTGATATGAACAGACAAGTGGTTGGGTAAATCAAATGCTGCTTCTAGAGCTTTCTTTAAAAAAAACAATACATTACACATGGGGTAAGCGCAAACCCCGGCACTATATATTCTGTAATATTTCTAATTTGTTTCTAATTTTTTTTCTGAAATTTCAGGTAATTGTCACCCAAAAAAAGTTGTCCCTCAATAAAGTGCAGAAAACTCAGCTCCCCTCGTGTTTTAAATTTTTATATCTGATTTTCATTTTTTTCCAGATACATTTTCACATTTTAGGAAAGGTCACCGAATTCGATGGTTCTAGCGTAAGCCGTTCAGGCGCTATCTGAGATAAACGTTGGCGCGGGCCTCAAAAGACCTCTTGGTCTTTATAGGGCTTAAAAAGTTTTCTGTGAGCTCCTGCAGATTGGATAATATTATACGACAGAACAACTCCTCGTGTATTTATCAGCACCCCAGTGTTTCCTGGCGTTGTTTTTACAGATATTAAGTGCCTTTGTGTTCGATTAGTACTTTGTTCGAGTGAAAACTGCCTAAAATGAACTCACAAAAGAAGCTAGGAACGGCGTCGGAGCATGGCGACGACACGGACCTAGGTGCAGAATTTGAATCTTTTGTTAGGGACCAGTTTAAACTACTGCTGGATGGTCAGAAGGCACTACGTAGCGAAGTACGGGCACTTGAGGAAAAATTGGGGAAGAATGTGGAGATGCTCGAGTCTCGTTTGGAAAGAAATGAAGAAAAATCGCGCCAGTCGGAGACGAAACTACGCGATGTAGAGCGCCAGACTACCGAGGGTTCTGAGCGAGTGAAATCGGCGACTGAGGAGAGCACTATGGAAGGTATATCCTTAGCAGCGCGCTGTGGAAGGGCTGTGGAAGAGGTGTGTGGAAGTGTCGTTGTGGGCCTTCGTATATATCCCTTGGCAGCGCGCTGTGGAATTCCGGAAGGGCTGTGGAGGAGGTGTGTGGAAGTGTCGTTGTGGGTCTTCGAACTACCCTACATCATGCCTCGCACGTATTGATACTATGGTTTGTGATGCAACAGAATAAAATGTTGCATATCTTTGATATCTCGCCAAACAAGAAATGTATCTTCTGTTTATTGTGTTTGATCCTCCCTAGTTAAACTGACTGTCATTCCGTGAGTTTGGAAGCTAGAGGCCTTTTGCCCTGCAAAAAAAAGGGTTTTTGCTGTAAAACGGAAGGGAGGCTATTTCCCAGTAAGTCCGTCGCGACAGTTGCCATAGCCACAAACCTATCTGTCTGACTGACCACCACCACCTCATGGGTGGTCCGCGTGCACGAGGCACCATTCATTCAGGCAGTCGGTCGCCAGCTACCCGCGAGGACGTACTTAACTTTCGTTGTACCAACTGACAAATTATTTGACTCATTTGCCGTATCAACGATACTTACAACTGGACCCCTGAACGTATTCAACTAACGCTTTTACTATCATGAAAGTTCATCTGTGTTGGTAGTAATCATAGTAAAACGTTAAACTTTATTCCAACACACTATTTACAGGGATCAAATTTTCAGCGACCACTGTCGCCTTCATCAGGATAATTAATGACCAATCACTTCAAAACGTGATCTCGCGAGAGTTACGGTTTACAAACACGTGACATTATTCACACGAGACTTTACTGATACGTGACGTAAGCAATTGATCAAAAGTGCCAGGGAGTTTATATCGTCCACCATCTCTATTAAGTGAAGGCTGAAGTGCTCTGATATATATAGCCTCCTTAATGCCTCTTAGAAAGTAGTCCTGTTCAGTGTCCAGTATTCTAACTTTGTCCAGAGAGACGGTGTGGCCAGGTGATTCGATGTGGATGTGTTGAGAAACTTCAGATGACAGCGAGCTGGGGCGTTTGTGTTCAAGAAATCTGGTCCTTAGTGAGCGTTCTGTCTCGCCAATGTACGATTCTTCGCAGGCCCCCCGCCCCGTGGTTCCCTGACACGGAATACAGTACACGACGCCACATTTCTCTTCTTTAGGTGTTTTGTCCTTAGGGGCTACGAGAAGCTGTTTCAGTGTGTTGGTGGGTTTGAAGGAGGTGGAGATACCGTGTGACGCGAAAATTCTGCGCAGGGGTTCTGAGACGGTCTTGATGTACGGGAGAGTGATGCGGCCTTTGTCCTTCTGTTTTGTTCCCGGGTTTCTGTTGTTCTGTTGGGTGGGTTTCGGTGTAATCGCCTTGTCTATGGCCCATTTAGGGTACCCACAGTCCTTGAGAGCATGTTGTATGTGTTGTTTCTCTGTGTCCCTGTCATGTGGATCTGTGATGATGGAGTCAGCTCTGTGAAACAAGGTCTTAACGACTGCAAGCTTGTGTTCAAGAGGATGGTTGGATCTGAAGTTGAGGTACTGGTCTGTGTGAGTAGGTTTCCGGTAGATAGTCAGGCGCAGTGAACCGTCGTCTTGGATCGTGGTGAGAGTGTCGAGGAAGGGTAGAGTTCTGTCTTGTTCTGATTCCGATGTGAATTTGATGTCCGGGTCCAAGGAGTTGAGATGGTCTGTGAATTCTTGTGCGTGGGCTTTCTTGAGTTTGGTGTGGGTGTCATCGACGTACCGGAACCACCAGAGGGGCGGGTGTGTAGCTGTAGTTATAGCGAGCTGTTCTAAGGGTCTAACGCTTTTACTGTTAGACGAGACGAGCCCGCAGACGAGGCCGCACTCCGCGTGGCCGTACCCCGGACCACTTGCCCCGTGGCCTTGTGAGGACAACGCCTGGCCGGACCACTTGCCCCGCTGCCTTGTGAGAAGAACTTCCCTCCTCTCCACCAGCGATAACAGACCCCTAAAACGGTGAGTTCATACGTGCTTTTATTTAGGGTACACTTTTAAACAGGAGCGTTGACAGGTATCATATACAATTATGGTAGGAGTGTATTTTATGTATAGAAACCTTCCGTGTGTGAAGTACTGATGACGACTTCACATTTCGGATCGTTCATCTTATAGAAGACTTTATAGAAGACTTACATTCTCCCCCTGTAACCACCCGGCCTGTTCAGAGGTTGGTTTCTGTTGCTTTGATTGTGAAACATGTCAAAGTTTTGCGCTGGACATATCAGCCTTGTCTACAGCTGAATTATAGGTTTCTTTGCTGGACTACTTTAGTGTTCCCCGCAATAATTTGCCTTTGATGTCCATTGCAATGTGTGTGGGGGCATTCTAGACAGGATAGCCAAACTTGTCTTATCGCCCTCGATAAACAGAAACCGTCCTGCTTGTTGAAAATGACGCGAGAAGAGAGCACATGGATTTAACGAGCTCTGACTGGTCAATTCCGGAAAAGTTTGAGCGTGGCCCGTGCGATACAAATAAGGAGACCCCGTGCGGTACAAACGGGGAATTCCCCGTGCACTGGTCAACGCAAACCAAGCGGGCGAGGATCGGCTTCCGTGTCCGTCATAAATTTCCATATGGCCCACATGGCGACATAGAACTCTTCTCACGGCTAATGCAACGCTGAAACACGTGGTATCTGGATGTCTGGGAGGAGGAGGGCTGCCATTGGTCGAATTAGGTGTCAAACTTGTTGCTGGGCAGGGCAAAAAAAATAGTTTATACCAAACAAACTTCAGATTTTAGTAGCCGAGTCCTAAGGCTCAATGAGAAGCGAAATCTTCGAATAGGAAACGAAGCTACCTTCTTGCCAAAATAAGGAAGCCACTTCTTAATTAACATATTTACAGGTAAAGAAGTATGGTTATAAGCGTTTGTTTCCTCCTTTTCGGTTCCCGCAATAATGACACGAGGCTAATCACCGCTGTTTCCCTACAGTTGCCCAGGCCGGCGGGCGTGGAGATACGTAGCTCCTTTGCCTTCTCTCAACGAGGAATACAGACATAAAAAAGGTCGGTTCATACGTACTTTTATCGATAATTCTACAGGGTGTGGGTGTTTGGTAACGTCGGCTAGTTTTGGCTAAGTTAATTTATGAAGCGCGGAAGGACTGCTACTTATGCAGCTCACAGCTGTCATGTCAAGTGTACTTTTGACGCACATTCTATATCAGCCTTGTCTTCAACTGTTTTCTACGTTTCGATGACTTGTTTAGGAAATGTACACCTTGTTTTGAAGAAATACATTTCAAACCGCTAACATTTGCTGTGACGTTCGCACCACGATATGTTTTGGCCGAGATCTTTATGAGGCGCGGTGAGAGGCATATTACTGTTGACTTACTTGCCGTGGATAGAGGGTAGCCATTTAAACGGGAGTTTTGTCAGGTATCATATACAATAATGGTAGGAGTGTATTTCATGTATAGATACCTTCAATGTGTGAAGTCCTGTCTATTGTTTTGTCCTGACACTAGCAACAAGCCTCACACCTTATCCGACCAATGACAGCCTTTCTTCTCTCCATACAGTTGCAATTCCATGTGCCTTAGCTAGTGCGCAAGCTCTAGTCGGCAGTTGCCGTGCTATAGCCGGGACAATCACACATGCCAGAAGCTGTGGTCACAGCTGACTCAAGCCTCCCGGTCACAGAGCTGATCATCACAACTGACTCCAGTCTCCTTTGTGTAAAATTTTGTTTCGATATTGTTGATGATGGTAGAAGAAGCATGTTGATATCATATGTGTATTAAGTAGTAGCATCGTCGACAGAAAGAAGGCAACATGGCAGGGAACCAGATCAGTAGCAGAGCCATCACGTGCAGGCTATGTAATGCATTGTTAGCCACAGTAAACCTTACACCAGTTAGAGATTACTGGGATGACTTACATACGTCTGTACTACGATGATACATTGCCTGTGTTTTACGGTATCTTAGTGTATATATTGTAATGACCTATTTTATATTTATTCAGAAAACCTCGCCAAATATGAATTCCCTAGTGAAAAACAGCTAAACAGCTGGGAGGGAAGACCTCACCCGCAAGGTGTTGCCAAATATGAATTCCCTAGTGAAAAACAGCTAAACAGCTGGGAGGGAAGACTTCACCCGCAAGGTATTGCCAAAAATGAATTCCCTAGGGAATGCGTGCGTGGAATATTTAGAATTCCTGGCAATTCAATCGCAGTACTATACTAAGGGCTCTGCCCCTGATGCGTCGCCAAAAACAAAACATTGTGTACATGTAATTGGGTGACTTGTAAGATTTATGGATATGTAAGATACAATCGCACCACCGGATATTCCAGAGGCAGACCTGCCTATCAACTGTGGGAAGCCCACTAAAGCAGAGATAAGGCAAGCGATCAAGTCCCTAAAGAACTGGAAGGCAGCAGGACCAGACGAGGTACCATCAGAAGCCATCAAGGCTGACACAGAGACAGCGGTCAGCATGCTGCAGAGCCTCTTCAACAAGATCTGGGAAGAGGAACGAGTGCCAGTGGAGTGGAAAGAGGGTATCCTCATCAAGCCTCCGAAGAAAGGTGACATGGGGGATTGTAGCAACTACAGAGGGATTATGCTCCTGTCAGTACCGGGGAAGGTCCTTAACAGAGTTCTTCTGGAGAGAATGAAGGAGGCAGTAGACGACAGGCTCCGTGACCAGCAGGCGGGTTTCCGTAAGAACAGGTCTTGTGTTGACCAGATAGCCACCCTGCGCATTATAGTGGAGCAGTCGCTGGAGTGGACTCCGGACTTTACCTTGTCCTTGATGGGTTTCGATATTTCTCCATCTAATTCTATCTGTTGCTGTCTGTCAGTTAACCAGTTCCATCTGAGGACCCCCGCCCCCTTATACCGTAGAAATCTAATTTGTTAATGAGCCTGATATGCAGTACGCTGTCGAATGCCTTGGAAAGGTCTAGGATTGCCATGTCTATTTGTCTGCCTGGGACACACATGAGTGGTTAGCGCGGAAGCCATGTTGGGTGGGGAGAAGAATGTGGTGATCGTCCCGGTGTTTCATGGTTGCGGAATACATTATGTGTTCGAGTAGTTTACAGCTGACCACTTGGAGTACTTCCATGTCCGTCGTCCCGGTTCTTGTCAGACGAGTCGTGTTCTCGTCACCGCTGCTACTAAAGCTCCGTGATCCTGTTCCTGCACTAACTTCAACATATTCTGAATAAGTAGAACCATATTTATTTTTTTTCCTTTTTTGTTGCAATTATATGACGATTAATCAACATATAGGGAACGTGCATTGATGAATAAACGATTTCAAATATTAAAGAAATAAAAACCTTTAATATCTGACATAATAAACACAACAATGAGAAGAAGAAGTACAATATATGCATAAAGGTAGAGTGGACGGGTTTCCTTACGACATGGGCGGGATCCCACAGTCTAGGTTGTTCATCCCAGTAATAATAAACGTTGGTGAAATAATGCCCATTGACGTGTGCCTGCAAGAACGGCTTTAACTGCGGAGATGCTCTTTTCCCATTTCACACGTTGAACACGATCGCTCAGGTAACTATTCGGACATCGCCATAAGTCGTGTCTTTTCCCCATGGGTGACAAACTGTGGAGGAGCCCGCCATGGTCCATTCAGTATCAAAGGAGCGCGTGAGGTCCACAAATGTAACATGCACGTCAATGTTGGGAGAACTATTAACAACATTGAACCATGTTACTTGGCTTAGTGCTGGCTTTATGAATTTACAACAACGATTACTTGGATATCATATTAAAGAAAATCATTCATGCATTCCAAAACTATATTATACAAGGAAATTAATAAGTCAACAATGGATGTATGTATGATCGACTTCAAAGAATGTAGCGACCCCCGTCAGTCTTCGAGTGCGACAAAATGTACTCTCTAGCGCTAGAGGACAAACTCCCGTGACATGTTATCTCTCTATGTGGCCGATTTCTACTCTTTCCAGCCGCCTTACAAAGCCTGGTATAGGCTAGTTAGAGAGCATAAAGTTCAAGGTTCATTTAAAGTTTGTCATGTGGGAATGTTTCATTAAATGTTTGTTCTCAATATTACAAAGCCTACTCCTTAAACTTTAATCGTCCTTTATAAAAAAATTCCCAACAACTTTAATTATTTTTCTCTTATATATTACTTGAAAGCTACTCCATGGTTATTTTACAGGTACAAATGCAGTATATAGATGCCAACCAAAGTATCACTACATCACGCACAAGCCATTACCTTTTATCCTTAAATTGATTTTATTGTACACAATGAACCACTCAAAACAATGCGTTTTTAAAGTACAAACCGTTGCAAACTAAACCTTTCCAGATCCCTATCTCTCGTGCTAAAGCTACCCCCTTCCTTAAGCTTATGTTGCTTCTGTATATTTCCAGAGAAACAAATATTGTACAAAGGTATTCAGTCCCAGTCGTTATACGAAGCAAGATTTTGGTGTTAGCATCCCCTCTATACTTTGTAGTAGTATAGCCAAGTATATAAGACCGGACATTCAAACGACCACCCCATACCGACTTGGCCATTCGAACATTACGTCCATACCAAAACTGTCTACTACATGTTTATTGACTATGCAAAAAAAAATTTTGGGCACACACACACATACACACACACATGTAGTTACAAGGGCCGAATATACTTAGTAGGGGCAGATATATGACAGTATCAAATCTACCATGTTTCTTACAATGTCCTTGGGTACATGCATGATAGGGTCATACCACATACAGGAAGCCATTTCCCAGACATCTATGATTAAAATATCAAGACCCTACATTATTTTTTTTACTTCTTTTGATAGCTGATAAGCATACCAATCGCTGTTTTCTATAAAATGGGATAACTGGCTACGGTGGCGAGTGTTACTTGTCCGCCAGATAACTCTCGTTTCTGGATAACGACTATGTAGTCGCTCTATGGCGTAGCGAATTCCATAAAGTCGTGAACGGAATGTTTCAATTGGTTCAGCGGTAAAGTGACCCCATAGCCCTAGAACGACAACGACATTCGGCCCTCCAATTATTTCATCAATTTCTTCTGCCACATAGTGAAGGCTCCTAAAGTGTAGCCACCTTTTTTCCTTATCAGGTACGTTTCGTGGAAAATGCTGGAATGTAAATTCCAGTTTTGTGCTAAATTCTTGGTTTACTGCAGCTGCGTGATATACATGTATAACTGAACCTGTTGTTTAAAGGTTTAGAAACTCCGCTAAAAATTTCCACAACTGTTTTGTCGTAGAATCCCCATAAAAGAACACAGATTTATTTTTTAGGCATCTTAAGACAGAGTGAGATGTAGGAAACGTCCTTGCCCAGCATTAAAGTGAATACCACGTTCCGTTAAACCAGTACCCTTCAGACGGTGTATCTGGCAGTCTTGGAGCACAGAGTGGCAGTGGTTTTTCATTGGATCTGCTTGTACACTGTTTAGAAAAGCTACCTAACCATGCAATTGAAAATGTCAATATATGCATATATAGTTTGCATTTACATACGTTCGTACATTACTACAACTTCTTGTAGACCCTTTTAAATGTATAAACTTATGCTCCGTCCTAATTCATTATGATGTATAGCTTAAAATGTTGATGTTACCTTCATTCAAAATTAAAGGTCAAAGTTTCAGTCAAAATTTCAATAGTTTTAACCCTATTCAGACCGGGCTTTTGAGGCCAGCCCCCTGTAACTCAACAACCACATATCGTAGGGCCTCCAAATTTGTAGAGAATGGTTAATGAAATTAATTCTTAATAACATTTTTGTGTAATTATGACGTCATTATGACGTCATTTATATAATTTTTTGGGGTAAAACCGTCAAAAATTCTTTTTTCCGTAAAACTTAATGGAATACGAGTACATCCAAACTTTAACAAAAAGTGTCTATGGTGGAATATTATTTTCTGCTTATACTTATGTTGCCCTTGGCAACCACAATGATGTCAAAATGAAGATATAAAATGACGTCACGCATAATCAATCTGTCGGCCATCTTGGATCGAACATCTTGAATTTTGAAAATTGCATTTTTTCAAGATATTGCCTCAAAACGCAACGAAAATGGACTCAAGATCCTCATATGGACATTTTATGTGAAAAAACACGGATTAAGACAAAAAATTAGTGAAAAAACTATGGTTACATAACAACTAATTATATGGTCCGCCATCTTGGATTTTGACCGTTGACGTCATCAAATTAGCATAAATTATGAATATTTAATAATAGAAATTATATATAATTCTATAAGATGACATTAATGTTAAAATGACGTTTAATTCAAAATTTTTATTTTTGAACCAAAATTACTGATTTTTCCAAAAACTGCCTGTCAGAATCCCATGGCAACGCAAAAAAATCATGAATTCATCAATTTATTATAAAAATGTTTCCAGATATTTTTAGAAAAAGTCAGCAAATTGGACGGTGCTAGCACAAGCCGTTTAGGTGCTATCTAAGATGAATGTGGGCGCGGTCCTCAAATGCCCCCCCCCCCGTCTGAATAGGGTTAACACGGAGTAGAGCAGCGTCTCCTCATTAATTGTGCAAAGTAGATTGCAATCATTGTGATGTAATTGAATATTACTTAAGCTGTCTACATACCATAAAATCACGTTATGCCATTTACCGTCAATTAAGTGGTTCAGTGATTTTAGATAAATGCTGCAAAATTTTTCAAGTAAGATACTTTGGGCTAAACTCTAGCAATCATTCGTTTTAAGTCATTTAAGCCGCTCATGACAAAAATTTTGTCCCTTCCGCTATATTTGTTGGAGAAAAATCCAGGCATGTAAACTTCAAAGATATAGATATGGCTTGAATTTTGGCTCGAAGGTCTCCATGAAATATTCGACTTATCTTACATATGTAACGTATCCAACTTTCCGCAATGCCAATCTAGATCATTTCTAACGAAAACTCTAAGGTCCGTGGTTGCGTCAAGTCTGTCTTGTCAGAACGTACCCTAAATAGGGGTATTTCATTAAGCAATGGAAATTTTAGTTTTTCTCTAAAATAATACTTACGTCTCCCATTGAATCGAATCCTTTTAATACTAGGCAACTCTTCACCATCAATGTCACTACAAAACAGGTAATGAAAGCCAATGTTAGGAACACGATGCTGAAGACTGAACTGTAATACAATGCACAATTATCGTCATCGTTATTATGTACACCTTATTTCGGAGGAGGTTGTTAGTTTAGACAAAAATCACTTGAAAAAAAGAAGGCAGACATTTTGCGATATATCTCAGTCAATAGATCTTATCGTTTACCATGTATTTTTCAATAAAGGGGTTCCCGAAATCCCCATACGGCGCTACGATAGATTACCATGCCTATTGGCTTTTGCTCCATTTGTTTCATTAAGCTCCACAATACAGTGCATTTGGATCAAAACAAAAACTGTTCAAAAATCCCCGAATTTTACATTTTAAAGGGGTGCATGCCGAAAATCAGGATGAATTGTTGTTGGTACATATATAACGTTAAAGCACACCTATACACAATTTCAGATCATTTTGGTGTAATAACAGGTCTCCACCTCAGTAAATGTACAGAAATTTTCCGAAAATAACGAAACCCCTTTTTTTTCTAAAAATGAGAAAAGGTGGGTAGTTAGATTCATTTAAACCTATCTAGACCGGGGGGGAGGGTCGTCACTGAATGCCATCCAGTAAAATTTATAGCGGCGACCGACATATGAATAATTTATTAGGGCCCACGGACGAGGTTTTTTCACTTGTAGAGTAGCCAGTTACCACTTATCACTGATCTACCACTGGTCGTTGCTGATCACAATTCCAAGGAGCTTGAAGGAGGTCACCATTCAGGTGGAGGGGGTTTTATAGGGCTGCGGCGACAACTGATGACCATATCTTTTGTCTTTTTAGCATTGGAAGAAAGAGTTTGCCCAGGCGTCAACTTTGTCCAGTGCCACCTGCATTAGACCCGGCAAGGAGGTCATCAAAAACTCGAGAGTTCGTAAGATCATCAGCGTATGTAACTGGTATGATGTTCGGTGCTCTCATGATCATCATCATAGCTTGTCGCCAATCCACTCCAGCCAGTTCCGCGCTGTTTCATTGACCTCCTGGAGATCTGTGTCTGTGCAGGTAGGTCCAAGCCTGCAACCGTGCATCAGGTGCTGGATAGCCTGGGGGTCCTCTCCACAGCTGCCAAAAAAGCCCAGTCTACATAGGGTTGAAGAAGTGGTAGGAAAAAAGGAGAAGAAGAAGAAGAGGAGGAAAAGGAGAAAAAGAAACACGAGGAAAAGCAATATTTCAATCCATTAACTGAAATTTATAAATTTATAGTTTCGTTCTAAATACAAAGAAATTTTGTTAAAACAAATAATAGAAATTGTTAAACAGTGTTCTAGTGATTTTGAATACGTTGACTTGACATTGTTCTTGTAACCTTCATTGTTATAGTCTAATAAGCATTACCTTGAAAACAGTTTCCGTTCTTCTAGGTTGGCCAAATGATTTTGCAGCGCCAACGTTTCCTTCTCGCCCCGGTGGCAATCCGTGATACTATCACAGCGACTCAGTTGTGGACGTTGGCAGTAAAACGTTGCATTAATAAATGGCTTAGAAAAGTCACACACGTCACGTAGATTCATGCTTCTATTGGCAGTGTTAGAGCAAGGCATCCACTCAGTCATATTCCTGCCTTCATCAGAAAAGCCATACACCATAATCCGCCTAATATTGTCCCGAATCTTTTTAAGAACATGCACAGCCTCACTCGAATGTATCAGTTGTGCTGAAAATGAGAGATTCCCTGGCCAACTGAGAAAGAACCTTGCGACATAAGTCTCATTCCCGTAGTCTGTGATCCGTCCAGCAGTGCTAGCATTTACAGCTCTGCTAAACAGCTTGGCCCGAAGAAAATCCCCCCCGTAAAGCTTCGGTCGGTCTTCTGCATCCTTGGCCACGATCTTGACGGAGAGAGTATCCCCTACGTAAAACACTCGTTTAGGATTCACCTCACTAATGACCAGGTGTTTACCCATTGTGACCCTATCGAAGTTGATAGAACCATTTCGATGAAGCCACTGTGGAGTTGGTTGGTTCCTAACAAGGCTGATATTCGTAAGTTTCAGTTTTACTGGATTTCCGGCATATTCTGAAACCTGCAAAAAAGTAAGGTTTAAATAAGTAACATGAACAGAGATGTGTAAAATACCCGACAATTTGCGTTATGATTTAGTTAAATTAGTAATTTTCGTTTCAACAATAGAAATTTATGGGTTTTATATCGTTACACATTGTTTCTAATATTAAAAAAAAATCACATATAATTTTATGTAAATTTCCTCATTAAAAAGGCATAATTTATATATTTAATCACGTCATTGGTCAAAATCCAAGATGGTGGAACATATCATTAGAACAGGTATATCAATATTTCCATTTAAAAAAAAAGGTTCATATGGACGTCTTTAGTTTGTTTGCAATGTATTTAGGCTTTATCCTGAAAAAAAAAGAACTTTTTGAAAATTTAAGCCCGATGATCTAAGATGGCGGATAGCTTATATATGCATGACGTCATTTTATGATATTCTAATATTCTGTTATGAAAACTTTTGGCAAAGTTATGTTGTATACCATTTACTTTTCAGGGAATAACCTATCTAGACGGTTTTGGCCGATAAAATCACATTAATAGCGTCATAATGCCGTTATGACATAAAAATTATAGTTTGGATAAATGTTTACTAGTACACCATCCTCTGAAAATTTGGTTGTCATATACCGTTCGCGAGTTCTAAGGGGGGGGGGGGGTTAGAATGAGCCCGGCCTAGATAGGGTTAAACTACACATAAAAGTGTTCCTTAAAATATGTATTCTAATGCATCCAAATTCCAGAATGGTAACTTGACTAACTTTACCAATTTTGTACAATTCAAAATGCCATCCGATATCACTTCACTTTTCGCCATCCCTCCATTTATACGTAGTACGATAGGACAATTATTCTAACACGTCAGGGTACTATACGTTCATTTCAACAGGCAGCTAAAAGGGGGGCTTTCATAAAATCTTTTCTTTTTTGTCACGCAAAGAATGACGGGTAAACTTGTTGTACAAAATTGCTTACAAAAGTCAGTGCTTCTCTTTTCACAGTTACGCTATGTAAGAGCTAAACCGGTTTCTGATTTAAGACTCCTTAAAACCCAAACTGTAAGTAACCTTTAAAATCATTTTAGAAGTGCAATTTAAATGAATACTTTACAATACTTAAATTGTGTGGGTGTTTAAAGCAATTGCTGTTTTCATCACATCATAAAAGTTTTTTTTTTGCATTTAAAAACTGTTATAAACCTAAGAATATTATCTATTTAAATCTGGGCACGTGTACCTTTGTACTGTTGGTATGTATATGATGTAATGCTGTTTTTAGCGAGGCTAGAACAGATTTTCAGTCTTCGGACAAGGTACTTTCTGTTATAAAATATGTCAAATTGATCAGGGACATCATTTATCTTTACTTCATGTGGTTTTTAGAAAAAGTAACAGCAATATTATGGGTAAAATTACTATTAGCACTTAACACCAAAAAAAGGTTTGGACAAACTATTCTTATATATACTGTATTCCTTTTGTGCTTTGCTTTTTTACAAACCGATGGAAGGTACAGACCGGCACATATAGTAGGGAATTGGTCTAAGTTTTAATTAGACTAATTAGCAAAATTTAGTTGCCTTTTTGGTGACAATTTTAAAGTATAGGAATGCGTTTTGTATCTTTCTTTTTGTTGATGCCATCTTGATTTGCAAAGAAAGAGCAGGATTGACATCTTAACTATCTATTATCATTATTTTTATCATTATTCTCTATTATTGTGCAGGTTGACGAAAGGAAATAACAGAAAAAGAAATACTATGCTGACGAAGAAGACATTCCAGCATCTTTTGACAAGGACTCCCAGGATTCTGACCTTATGTGTTATTTTAATGCTGCTGTTAACTAACTTATTTTTGTATATATTGGACGAATTCCCTTCTACCTCAACTATTAAACTTGACAAGACCAAGAAAAATTTTACTGATGTTTCATTAGGTAAGGTTTTTATTCTTTGTTTGTGTGTATTTTATAACCTTGATGACTCTAAAAAAACAATGTCAAAATCTTTTCACATCACCTTTATTTCGAATACAACCTTAAAACATTTTTTAACCTTTCACATACCTTAGAAGAATCTGAGCGTCGTTCTGGAAGAAACTTGTTAAAAGAGAACTGTAGAACAAGATCTGAAGCCAGCATGGTAAGTGTACTCGTAATTGTCATTGTGCTGGCATTTATGTCTGTTTTCGCTATTGGAATTGGGACGTTATCCATTGGGAGAAATGTTTCTGATTGAAACATTTTTTTTCGGTTATTTCTAGAAGTAAAATATCGGCTACAATGACGCAAAAACATTGATAATGGTTGTTCAGCACAACCTGTTTTTTATAGTCCTGGATATACTATGGCCTATTAATTGATAATGTCGTTGCGTTTTACAGTAAACAAGTGCTTTTGAAAAAATGCTGACATTTCGGCTGACAAAGGTTTTACTGCCGTTATTGAGGTAGAAGTTGTTGAAATGATATTACCCAAGTTGATGAAATTGGCACGAGACCACTTAAAGAAGAAAACACATCTGATATATGTATGTAACACTTCATATATACATGTAGATGAAAAATAGCAATTTTGAAACCCGCAGCATTGTGACGATTTTGATGACAGCACATGCTACACAAAAAACAAATGCTTCATATTGACATTCCTGAGTAAGAACAATGCAGCAGGCAAACGTAAAAGTACAAACATGATAGAGAAACATAGAAACCTGTGCCAGGACTTTTCATGCAACAACGACATCTAGCGACATGCAGCATGTCTGCAGGGCCTAGTTTTTGAACGTTAAAAAGCAAAACAGCGGATGTAAAAAGATAATTTCAAAAACTCATACGTCGGGACTTAAACAATTAGTTTTTGAGCCTTAAAAGCAAAATAGCGTCTGTTAAAAAGAAAATAAAAAAAGTTCCTCTCCGGGGATCGAACTCGCTATGTGCTTACCCCGCCACCGCCACTCAGCATCACTATCAGTTGAGCTATAGGATTGCGTATTTGTCTGACTACCTAAGCAACATAGTATACATAGCGATCCGAGAAAAATGGGCAGGTCCAAGCAGGATGAACGAATTATGATTGAAGCATAAAGGCCCGTCTTTTAAAAGAGTAAGTATCAAAAGTATTGACATTCCTGAGTAAGAACAATGCAGCAGGCAAACGTAAAAGTGCAAACATAATAGAGAAACGTAGAAAATTCGCCAGGACTTTTCATGCAACAACGACATCTAGCGACATGAGGCATTATTTTTGGACATTAACATAATTTATGCAATCATCTTTAGATTTGTAGTACGATCAATGAATTAGCGCCTAAAAACTTATGTAACCATACTTCGATCAATGGTATGTCACTAGATAAGACTGTTACTACATAAAGTTTCTTTTTGTAAAGAACATGGATTGCTATTAACTAAAATGGCAGCAAGTCTATTGCATACCCCACAAACCGGAAAGAAGTAAACAGGTATTGCATGGCCTGCAGTGTTACCAAACTACCAAAGAAACAAAGAAAGAAAGAAGGATAGACCCCGTCTTATTACATTTCGAGTAAAAAAGTGAGAAGTAGGTTGGTCCTCTTTGGAACTGTGGTACCCAAATAAAGGTATTTAGGTACCGCAATAGACCCACATAAATACGTGATAACCTATAGAATTCTACCTTAGTAACCTTGTTTAACCCTCAACAGTGCATCTTCCCGGACTAATTAATCTATCTGTACACCTGGGGTCCGCGCGGACCCCAAAATTGTTTTTTTGCTCATTTTTAAAGAAATTATCAACATACTACCGGCTCAATTATTTTCCAAATTGATGTGTAAACCTCTGGGTCAACATTACGTACAAATATCATACACTTTGACCTTTTCCTTTTTTTGTAAAGACAAGAAGAAATACCGATTTTTAACCCTATTCAGACCGAATGGGCTTTTGAGGCCCGCGCCAACTTAAACCTCAGATAACGCCAGAACGGCTTGCGTTAGAACCATCAAATTTGGTGACCTGTCCTAAAATTTATCTGGAAACAATTTCATATAAGTTTGATAGGTTAATGACTTTTTGTGTTGCCATGGCAATGGGTTTTTGACAGGCAATTTTTTTAAATATCTGTAATTTTGGTTGATACATAAAAATTCTCTGGGTTTTATATTAAATGACATATCTTTCCAAAATTAATCTTACATAATGATGAAACATATGGATGTTTCAGCAAGGTCATTTACATATAATAAAAACAATGGGGGACCTAAAATTGAATCTTGGGGGACACCAGAATTTAGAGGTTTGCAGGAGGAAGCATTATCATTGAGGGCAACGTACTATTTTCTTTTGGATAGATAACTGGTAAACCACTTAAGTCCGACCTCGTTAATGCCATAGAATGAATCGAACCGTGTCGAAAGTCTTACTTACATCTAGACATATTCCAATAGTATTTTTATCGTTATCAATCGCTATAGTTGTTCTAATCAATTAGTTGCATAAGTGCCATTGAAGTAGAGTTTTAAAGCCGTACTAATGTTTGTAGAGAATGTCGTTTTGGTCTAGATGTTTTTAAAGTCATTTGTATATCAGTTTTTATTCAGAACTTTTGAGATGCAGGGCAAAATTTAGATTGGGTGGTAATTACTAACTAAGGTAGGATTGTTGGTTATTAATATAGGAATTACTTTTGCAATTTTAGTTGGTTTAGGAAACATTCCGTTCTGGATGGATAAAGTCAGTATATGAGTGAGAGGGGGGATGATGTAAGGTAGGGAGATATTTAGTACTAATTCGTCGTGACCAGCAGCGGAATCGTTCAGATTTCTAACTATGTATGAAACTTACTATCGTTGTGCAAAAATGAGCAAAACAAGTCTTACAGAAATTTGCCCCTAATGTCTTCAAATGCCGATTGCAAATATATCTTAATTATAACGGTATATTTGCAAACATAATGAGTGCATTGTAAACTAAATTTTCAATAGGAGATTTAGCTAAAAATGGCAGATGGACAGTTTATTGCAAAAAAGCAAATTGCCTATTTATATTTCATGGGTATGAGTGAAATATCGCCATTATCTTCATTGCGTCGAATTACCTGGAATTTGTCATGACGGTAGAGTGAAAAAAAAGCTCAGGAGTATTTTTTTGTTATACAGGCTCTTAAAGTGGTTTCATTTTGGTATTTACCATGGATATAATTCATGATCATATTTGACACATATGACCTACTGTATAGGCTGGCGAAGTTTCGGACTGCTAAAAATGTAATCAGACTTTGAATAATCAAACAGAAACAGGCTTGTATGCAAGTTTAATTTCCAAATAGATACATGATGACATATATCTTTAAAGAGGTAGAAAACATCACAGGGGTTTTTCAGAATATCTTTTACTGAAAAGCACTTTGTTGTTTTCTATAATACCTTTACTATAATGTAATATATTGGGGTTGGGTGACAACACTTATGCAAAAAAGATAAGTCTTGCAATTGGGGCAATACATGAGGATTTGAGACCATTTGTTTTATACAAGAATTGGTGGTTTTAGAACACTTTATTGACCATGGGGTTTCAAAAAACATTTGTTACGAACGTAGGGTATACAAAATGTTGAATGAAGAATCGGTAAAATCTGCTGTATTTGCTCCCGAGCGAATGTTGATATTTCGTGTCATATTGCGTGTAAGTAAGTTCATAGGTTGGGACGTGTATTGACCCTATCTAGAACGGGGGGGGGTGGCTAAAAGTGCTCGCGCCAACTTTGATGTCATCTAGCGTCTGAACGGATAAGGCTAGAACCGCCAAACTT